TTGAAAAAAAATCTCTAAACACCCTTGGTAATGGGAGACAGTAATACCTCAGAATGCTAGTCAGGAAAGTATTAAGCTGGTAGCACCCTAGTATGTGATGCTATACTCATATTTGAATAGACCTTGTCTCCAGCCTGGAGTATGAGGCAGTTTTGAAATTGAGTGCATTTGTGCTTGTAGTAATCCAGCTTTAACAGTTATGAAAACAAAACAGCACTGCCAGCTTGATGTGGAGAGTGATCTCGGCTGTGTCTTGTCCAACATCAGACCAAAAAATAGCAGATATCATTAGGACAAACACTAACATGACAAAACATTAAATGGAATACAACCTCCAGGGGCCAACAAAAACCCCTATGTGTATTGGGTGACTCCTGCCTTGACCTCTACTATTGAGGCTTCTGGGAATATGTGGATACACACAACAGATTCTCTCCACAAGACTCACTTCATCGCCTCTCTAGAGAGGGACACTGTATTATATTCAGACTAAGGACTGGGCACAACAGACTTCATCAACATGTGTTCAAATTTTTTGGTGTAGGAAACACAGTGATGTGTCCCTGCAGCGTGGCACTCGAAAATGCTGAGCATGTGCTCCAACACTGTATGCTGCAACAGAGACGCAATCTGGCCTTTTCCATGAAGTTGTATGGTACACGAGACACTGTTCATAAAGGCTACCGCAATAAGTTTTCTGACAGAAGAAGCTTGGCTTTGAAGAAGCCATTTAGCCTGAAGGACCCTACCCTCCAAACACTGGTGTTAATTTATTTATATCCTGACCTGCGAACTTGGCCAGTGTCATCAACTATGTGTCTTGTAAACAGGTCACTATAGATAAGTCAGGAAAGTGACATATACAATATAGGGAATGGACCCAACCAGAGTGTCTGTTTTTCAGCTTCTCTGGGTGAAGGGTTGGGAATTGAAACCCACCCACCAGCCAACCCAGCAAATTGAACCAGAGATAGACATTGTACTTTTTTTTAACCCTTCCATGCCCATGTGAATATATACTGAATAAGTTACTCAAAGCTGCCCGTGGCAGTACAACCTGCTATTAATGACATCTGCCAGTTTATATCATGTGTAGTTTATTGAATATTCACACACATTGTGTACTTATGTTAAAATGCACACCTGCAACCTACAAAGGCCTTTTGTATGACATCCAGGCATCTGGATGGGTTAGCCTTTGTAAAATAACAATATGTTTCGATCAGTACATCGTAATCAATAGGTCCCCGACTACAGTAACTTTGAACAGTGATTGAGTGTGTTGAAGAATGCTAACTGGTAATAATATTTTTTAAGGTGAAAGTAGTCCCATATAAATGTGACTGCTCGAATATGAATTGTTGGGCTTTCACTTAGTCAGTACCATAATCTTTGCCAATTATTTCTTCTTTTTCTTTTACTTCATATTTCTTTTCCTTATTTTTCTTTCACTTCATGTTTCTTTTTTTTATTTCACTTCATATTTCTTTTTTGTCTGCTTCTTTCACTTATTTCTTTTTTGTCTGCTTCTTTCACTTATTTCTTTTTTGTCTGCTTCTTTCACTTATTTCTTTTTTGTCTGCTTCTTTCACTTATTTCTTTTTTGTCTGCTTCTTTCACTTATTTCTTTTTTGTCTGCTTCTTTCACTTCATATTTCTTTTTCTTCTTCCTCTCCTATTCTTCCTCCTTCTTCCTCTTCGTTTCCTTTGAGGGTGGGACTCTGTGGTGAAGTGATCAAACTGTTTGCCTTGCACTGTGAAGGTCCTGGATTTGTTTCACAGCTGCCTTATTCGGTTCATGAGCACATTTTTTACGGCGACCCCTGGGGATTATCGCCTGAGTTACGGTGTTTATGCTTAGTTGCGATGCTCTTGGCAGGTGACCAGCTGTTCTGGGAAGAGAGACGCAGTCAAATGGGATCAAACCAGGTGCAATGAAGTCTCGACTCTAAAATTTAACCTTGTTTTCCTTCTTTTACTGCTGACTGTTATCCTGAAATAATGCATTGGCCTTTAGGCAACTCACACCAAGTCATAGATGATTGGCTTTTACAGATAAAGTTGTTCAAGGATGGTATTACTAACCTCAAGCCCAACCTTCCCCTTAGTTGTCTCCTGGGACATGCTTGACAGGGTGTTTTTATTCTTTGCTCCCCTAAGAGCTCCAGTAACACATGGACATTTTCATCTGTCCTTCTGAGACATTTATGTTCTAATGTGTGCTGCAAAGTTTGTGGACTGAGTCCTCATTGTGTGTACTGTAGCTAGAAGGTGACTGTTGTGTTTTTTTTTTTTAAAGATATTGCATGCATTTGAAGTAATCTTTCACATACAAAACCATTTTATTATAGAGATTAACTCATTAAACGTGTTTCTTCTTCTTCATGTTCACTGGCTGTAAACTCTGGTGAAAAGTTCTGGTTGTTCTTCCACTTCTGGACTTTGTTCAAGAACTTGAGTGTTGCATTTACATCCATTTTACAGATCCAGCTTATTTGTCTGCAGGTTGTTGATTTCTCACCTTTAAGGCAGATGCTCCAGTCTTAAAAGAAAACACCCCTAATTAGTTAGCAATTAGGACGTGTTTGTTAGTGGGCACAGTGGGTATATTCCTTTTTTTTTTTTTTTTTTACAACATGGGGTCCCCAAACTCACACAGGGGATCTAAAGGAGATTACTTCTCTGCTTTTTTTTTATATCCATGTGCATAAGAAGTAATATTTCATAAACAAAACCTTTTTGTAATGGGGATTAACTCTTTTAAAATCTCAAAATATGTTCATAGGTTACTCTATAAAAGGTATACATTTTGCTTTTCCAGGACGTAATTTTTTGTTATTTGAAGCCCCACTCTGGCTTTTGCCAGGGGCCGCAATATAGGCAGGCCATAAAAATGGCCAAATGTCTGAACGCAGTTTCTGGGACCTCTCCACGGTGATCCTCATCCACATGGTGGCACGTTGTGTCATCGGGTGCTTATCGCTTGTGTGATGTCCTAGTGGGGTAGAAAGTCACTCACTCACTCTGTCCAGGGTTTCTAGTAATCCATAATTTTAAAAGTTAACAAGCTAGTCTGATAGAGGACATGGAAATATTCAACTCAATATGTTGCATTTCCTTGGAAAGTTAAAAAAAAAAAAAACTGGGGTTTCTTTAGAATCTGAAATTAAAAGAGAGTTGTTGATAGAAATATAAAAAGAAAATGGGACATTTCAGAACATTATAGAACATTTTAGAACATACCAAAGATATCTGGGGGTAAAAGTTCATCATCATTATGCAGCATGTTCATTGCAGAACATCACTCTAATGAACAATGAATAGATGTGTTGAAGAACGCTAACTGGTAATAATATTTTTTAAGGTGAAAGCAGTCCTATGTAAGTTTGATTGCTGGAAATATCCCATGCCTATGTTCATGCTAGTTGGCTCTGCCCCTCTTCCTGGTATCTTATGATTTGCCATTATTATTATTTTTTTTTTCTAATCTGCCGTGGCACTCGATATATGCCGAAATATTTCGGAGTCAAGATTTTGTTTACTAGCCAATCTTCCTTGAGGTGCCGATCTTTTTGGATGTTAGTGTTTTTTTCTTCTTCATCCATGGTTTTCTGACAATCTTTCTATTATCTTTTTGGAAGGCTAACCCGGTCAACAAATGCATGCAGAAGTCGGATGTGTCGGCAGAAAGGCTCAAATATCGCAGCCATGCTGTAAACTGGCTCAGTGCATTTACATCTTCGGATGAAGGCAGAAGAAGAGGAAGAAGTCTGGAAATTTACTCTGAAAGTTACCGGAAATAACCTTTGTGAAATTGAGCAAACTCACTGGTGGCATTATAGTAAACATTAGTTAATCCATTTGCCAATACTTGGCCCGGATAAGACCATAAGTATAGGGAGGATTACCTTTTACAAACCTATCAGTTCTGGGGATCAACTTAGCCTCATACAGTGTATACTAGGTCAGTATTCTTCAACAGATGAGCCCAGATTCTTATCAAAATGGATAGTACGCTGCTGGCAGATGGTGGCTGTTGCACTTTCCTCCATTTGTAGACTTAATGGATATAGTTTTGTTGCCCGGCTACTGAGCTGAGTGCATGGTGCGACACTATGCTTCTTTTTTTAATTTGGAATGGTTCTCAAACAAGAAATAAACTATTTTCGACAGCGGAGAGGGAAGATAACTTAAATTTTAACTTTTAAGTATCTACATGCCTTCTGTAATAATTTCAAAATTATTTAGCCGACTTTTCTTGAATATTGCCGCATCACCCCGGCATACGCTCACACTCACCCCAGGGTGCCTTCGGCATCCAGTGTGAGAACCGCTGCGTTAAAGCATTGTTAGCCCGACTCGGTGACGTCAGCGGCACAGCCCGTCAGCTGTAGCTGGTCATGGTTGTACACTCTCAGACTGCTGTTGATCCATCTCTTGTTGTTGTCTGTTGTCTTCCCACTTGTATCATTGTCTGTAACTTTAACACTTGTCTTTTAAAAAATGGATTTGATTTTTTGTTTGTTTTTTTATTTATGTGGCCCGATTGTTTTATTTGTCTTTGTTTTTCTTTTCAAATTAAAATTTTTTTTTTTAAATTTCCATCATCGCTCAATTTCTGCTTCTTCTTGGCATTCACTGGCTGTAGGCTCTGGTGGAAAGATCTGGATGTTCATCCACTTCTGGACTTTGGTCTTGATCCAAAACTTGAGTTTGCCTGCACATTGGTTTTACACATTTGGCTTATCTGTATGCAGACTGTTGGTTTCTTGCCTCTCAGGCAGATACACTGCAACTTTGAAGAAAACAACACTAGTCACATTCTACAGCATACACCAGGTCTCTTCTTTGTTCTGAAAAATAGAGCCATAGAACCTGTCTTTTATTTCCCAGTGATTTGAGAATCCGTGTATTTTTGTTTCTTGTTTTTTTCTCTCCATTAAATATGAACTGTATTTTTTATTTCCAGTGTTGTCTAACCCTCTTATTATCTTCAACAGGCCCAGGCAAGCTTCAAAAACTTGCTGTCCTCTGTGTGTTTGGCAAGGAACAGCATGTCAGCCTGGAGGAAGGAAGTGGGAAATCTACTCCCTCTTCTCCTTCACCTTCTAAATCAGAAGAACCTTTATTCAAATCAGCCGTCCGCTTGGTGTCCTGTTTTGCCGGACTTCAGATTTCCTACCTGACCTGGGGGGTTCTGCAAGAAAGAATAATGACCATTGAGTATGGATACTCGGAGGACCAGCCTGGGGAGTTCTTCAAAGATTCACAGTTCCTGGTGTTCGTCAACCGCATCCTGGCCTTCATGATAGCTCTGCTTGTGGTGTTCTTCCGTCCACAGCCTCCACACACGGCTCCTCTCTACAAGTACTCGTTCAGCTCATTCTCCAACATCATGTCCTCCTGGTGCCAGTATGAGGCTCTCAAGTTTGTCAGCTTTCCCACTCAGGTATGTTTCATTAAACTTTTTCCCCTCCTCATGTGGGGTTCTGAGGCTCCCATATATGTATTGACAGGTAATTTGTCCATTGTTTTTATGTGGGTTCCTGGGCCCCCTTATATGTATTGACAGGTAATTTGTCCGTTGTTTTTATGTGGGTTCTTGGGCCCTCTTATATGTATTGACAGGTAATTTGTCCGTTGTTTTTATGTGGGTTCCTGGGGCCCTTATATATGTATTGACAGGTAATTTGTCCGTTGTTTTCATGTGGGTTACTGGGCCCCCTTATATGTATTGACAGGTAATTTGTCTTTTGTTTTCATGTGGGTTCTGGGGGCCCTCATATATGTATTGACAGGTAATTTGTCCGTTGTTTTTATGTGGGTTACTGGGCTCCCTTATATGTATTGACAGGTAATTTGTCCGTTGTTTTTATGTGGGTTCCTGGGCCCCCTTATATGTATTGACAGGTAATTTGTCCGTTGTTTTTATGTGGGTTCCTGGGCCCCCTTATATGTATTGACAGGTAATTTGTCTTTTGTTTTCATGTGGGTTCTGGGGGCCCTCATATATGTATTGGCAGGTAATTTGTCCGTTGTTTTCATGTGGGTTCCGGGGGCCCTCATATATGTATGGGGCCCCTGGCCCCCATATATGTATATGCAGGTAATTTGTCCATTGTTTTTCATGTTTTCATGTGGGTTCCTGGACCCCTATATATATGTATTGGCAGGTATTTTGTCCGTTGTTTTTCACGTTTTATCAGTTGAATGTTGAATTAAGAATCGACATCATAGCACTCGGGGAAACTCCCATAAGCGCTCAATCCACATCTTCAGCAGCAAGCACAGAGTTCTAATTCCGATGGTACCAGTAACTGACTGATTGTACACCATCTCGCCTTTCACTTGAGTGTTCAGCGTTGGCCAGGTCTCCTGGTAACTCCCTGCAGCACCATTCTTCTCAAAACATAATGATCTATTTGTGCCTCTGCACTGTTCATTCGCTCCCAAAGGGCCCTCACAACATCTAACTTGCCGTACATCAATTCACCACCTAGTGGTGCCGAACTTGCCAGACTATCTGCCTGCTCATTTCCCAACACACCAGCATTACCTGAAGAAAATCGAAAGGATGCTAACTACCCGGGACCACTGAAGCCTTGCTTGCCACTCTGCATGGAGTATGCCTGTCTCCACCTCTCTCAGCATAACATGCTCTGTTCATCAGTTACAATTAAGACGTGTATGCAGCTGATTCTCAAACCAGGGGAAGGCAGCAGTGACTGCCAAGTCAGTTGTAATTATATGTGAGCGGTCCATGGAAGTTAATGTAGTCCCACATCAGCTTTTTGACTTTGGTAAATATTTCATATGTATCTCTTGTTTCCCAGTCTGATATATATAGTAATATTATCTGTCTTATGTGCATATCTTGCCAGATTTCCCAACAAATATATGTCAATTCACCACCTAGTGGTGCCGAACTTGCCAGACTATCTGCCTGCTCATTTCCCAACACACCAGCATATATATAGCTGTACTTTTCCTACTCGTGTATGAATCAGCTTTCTGTTGTCGCATTCAGACATGTACTTTATAGAACAATCAGCACTCATTTTGTTATGTTGTTTAACGTCATTGGAGGACACCAATGAAATATACCAGGCAACAATTTTTTTTCAGTTTGTTGTTTGTCTCTTCTTTATTCAAACAAAATAAGTGTTGCAGCCAGCAGGCCTTCATCAGCGCAAAGCACAAATGGACAGCGATACAATTACAAACAAAAATAACATAAAAATCACCTACCAGTTCCCAAGAATTCTGTCAAATGTCAGTTGCTCCCATTCAGGTACGGATCTGCTGTCAGGTTTATTACTTAGATATGCATTATCAGTATGATAGTTTTCTCACTCATATGTTTATATAATTGTGTCCCTTTTCCCATTCATATCTGTATTAGGCTTTTCTCACTTTTCTCCCTCTGCTGTATGCCTAGAGGAGTGCAGTGGCTAGAACACTTTCCTGTCAGCTGTATGGTCATTAATTAAACCTCCACCTCCTTTCCCAGACAGGTGTAGAAATCATCTCTGTTCCCTGGTTACTTTGGTGTTCAACAAAAATAAAAATATGAGGTACATTTGTAAAGTAATCAGATGGTTTGATTTTTGATATAATGTTGTAATTGAAGAAGTGTGTGTCTGATATCTCACTCATTTTATGTTCAGTTGTCAGCGTCTCTGGCTTAACAGAGCAGTTTCATAATTCTGACATCTTCTTCTTTTTCTCTAGTCCTGTTCTGCCTTCCTTTATCAGATTTTGAAGAAGCATTGGTTTTAAGCCTTTATATATGCTATGTAGATGCTAGTATTTAAAGCCTTGGATATTTCATCTATCCATCACTTGCATGGTCTACCTCTAGGCTGCTTCCAGTATGTATAAGTGACAGGGCTTTCTGCGGTACACTATCTGGTGTCAGCCTTTACAGATATCCAAACAAACTCCGACCAAGATTCAATTCAGTTGGAGGCAGTTTGGCAGCTTTGTGTTTATTTTGACAATGAGGAGATGAGCACTGACCATTCAGAAGCAATGATAATCTACTGAACATAGAATTCCCTAGTAAAAATGGCCATCATTTTATTTGTCTTGTGTAGTGCCTGTGTTGGTATTTGTTCTGGCTGCATTCATAGTAAAAGCCCAGACCATTTGATCTTGTGTTTCTGAATGAATTTGCTCTATGGGGTGGGTCCCATAGTCTGTCTGATCATTTAATTTCTATTTTTGTCTCGGATGGTTGATTTTGCGACTTTTCTCAGGCTTCTTATTTCACAGGTGTTAATTTTATGTAGGATTGGCACGCATAAATATAAACCAGTCAGTTGAGATGAGTTGAGTAAAGAATTGACATCAAAGCTCTCGGCGCATTCCCATGCATGCTCTGTCCTCATCTTCAGTAGCCAGCGCAGAGTCGCAATACTGATGGTACCGGTCACATTCTGGTTATATGTCTGTCTTCTCTATCCTCTGAGTGTAGTGAGTCGGCCAGAGCCTCTGGTTACACCCAGATGCCTCATTCTTCCCAGGCCATAATTTAGTTCTCTACTGATTCTGTTGCTTGTTCTCAAAGGGCCTTGACCACATCTGCCTTGTCATGTATCAATTCACCACCCAGTGGTGCAGATCCAGCCAATAACCAGTCAAACCTTGTGCATTGTATGGGATTAAAATTTAAACAAAAGTTAAGTAAAAGGCATGCAACTAAAAACAAAGATCTGCAACTTATCAGTGTCATAGTACAGATGCATGACATGCATATAAAGGATACATATTTAACTTTCATTTTGCCTTCAACAGGTCTTGGCGAAGGCTTCCAAAGTGATTCCAGTAATGTTGATGGGTAAAGTAGTATCCAAGAAAACCTACCAGTACCACGAATACGTCACTGCACTGATGATTTCTGTGGGCTTGTCCATGTTTCTGCTGACCAGTGGCGATGTGACCAGGCATAGAGACAGTGTGACCACCACTTCAGGGCTGATCATGCTTGTGGGGTACATGCTGTTTGATAGCTTCACTTCTAACTGGCAGGTAATTTGTGCGTTGTTGTTCATGTTTTATCCTCCTCTTCTTTCTTTTTTCTTCTCCTGGAATGCCTCGCGGCATCAGGGCAGGAAGAGACCAGTAAGTTTCAGTAGAGAGATACGCAACAATTTCCACTTCTGCCGTTAAGCGTCATGGGGAGTGTGATATTTTCTCCTCAATGTCTTATCTGGTTTCTAAAGGTTTATTCTTATTGAAGACATGATTGACAGTTCTAAGCGTAGTGGTTTAACTTCCTGAGCAATCGGAAACTGGTTGGATGCCACTTCGGAACAGATCATCGTCAGGCCGTCATCTTGTTGTCTTCCCCAGAACAGAACTCTCACGTGGCCAAATACACTGTTACATTCACGCTGAATCTCAGGTACACCCTTTCGCTCCGGCTGGCAAACACATACTGCCTGATTAGACCTTTGTCTAATCTTATAACCTTGTGCTGGGTTCCACGTGGCTTCAAGTGTTCGTCTACCCTGCTCAAGTACCTCAAGTACCTCTATATTTCTCACATCCAGACACATGTAGACTATTGCTCTACAATATGGGATGGCTGTTCCAGCTCTGTTATCAAGCGACTCACATAACTGCAAAAGCGCGCCATTCGCTTAATTAGTAACAATCATGGAACACTGAGCTCTGAAACATATAAAGGTCTTAGACTACTACCGCTTCGTGAACGTCTACTTTTCAATAAGGCAAAATATACTTACAAAATATTATCTCAAAAGGCTCCATGTTACTTACGGCCGTTTTTCAAATATAATGAACGGCATAGTAAGCGTCTAAACATATTACACATCCCTAAACCTAGGATAGACCTTTATAAAACAAGTTTGTCATATTCCGCAACTCAATTGTGGAACTATCTACCACAGCAAATCAAAAGTACCACTAGTCCATATACATATAATCGGAAACTGTTCGAATATTATCTGAGCACCGATTATATGCCCCCATAGAAGATAAAACATATGTGAAAAATAGCGCTCATTTTCCTTGGATTTGTTACAACTAATACGTTTTACTGTAGTTAGAAATGTGCACATTCCAGTGCTTGTATTGATTATTTTGATGCTATTGCTAACTTTTAATATTACTTGATGTGTGAATGAAATGATGTAAGAATGGAGGAAGACCTCGAAGGGCAGAATGTTAGACGGGCCTGCGTGCCCAATTCTTAACCCTTTAAAAATAAAGTTTGTTCGTTCGTTCGTTCATGTTTCTACTAGTATTTGCGTTGTCCCGTTTTTCTGTCCTATCTCGAGGTTTCCCCCTCACATTATTCCCCAGGGAATCCCTGTGTGAAAATACCAATATTACAGGGAGGGACGACTCCCGGTTTAGAAATGGCAGCGTGAAGACGTGTTTGCGGCGACACACGATTTTATTCTAAAATTTTCACTTAATCGGTGTTTTTCTCTTGATAACAGAGTGCGATTATTACTAATTCATTGACGATGGATATTCTCTTGTTCGTGGATACAAGTATTATGTGGTTTAGGGGTGTTCTAACGGAATTATTTCCACACAATAGCCACGGCGGCGGCCGTGTCCTAATTCCGATAATGTAACCGCGTAGGAGCCACGCTCCCATTATAAACATGGGAGTCCACGGGTAAGACCCCAGTCTACTCTAGCAAAACAAGGTGCTGAAGTCGGAGGCAACCAGCCAGGAGGCGCACCATAGCAATCAGGATGCCACGCACAAACACAACAGGGAATATTTCTATATCTGCAAATAAGTTTGATTTCCACCATGTGACCCACTCACATACACGTGGTTCGATTTACCGGCCTACGACAAGAAGAAAGAGTCCAGCTTCAAACACTCGAAGCCTCCCCCTAAAGCCCCGTAGAACCAGAAAGGCAGAAAATACAGCTAGCCTTAAAATAATGCACTGGAACGCGGAGGGAGTAAATACTAAGAAAATAGAATTAGAAAACGTCTTGAACGAAGAGAATATACATGTATGCTGCCTACAAGAGACGTATCTCAAACAAGATATGGCCTTTAAGATCAGAGGCTACCAGTGTTTCCGATCTGACCGCAAAGACAGGAGAAAAGGTGGAATTCTTACCCTGGTCAAAAATAACATCCTTGCGGGCCGGATCGAAACATACATGGAAGGTGCTGAGTATCAAACTCTTGAGCTCAAGTTAGAAAATACAGATTTACATCTGACCAACTATTACTGTCCGAGCGACCGCCCTCAGGCACTGGATACAGTACTAATAAATGAAAAAATGATCATTTGTGGGGATTTTAATAGCCATTCCCAAAGTTGGGGCTACGATCATATGGACCAGAGAGGAGAGAAACTAGAGGACTGGCAGGATGAGAATAGGTTCATCCTCGTTAATAAGCCAACCGACCCACCAACCTTCTACTCTAGAGCATGGCATACCACCTCGACACCAGACCTAGCCTTTCACTCAGCAGACATGGAACTGAATGTTACCAGAACTGTTGGGAAGCAACTAGGAGGCAGTGACCACCGGCCAGTCTTTCTAACTATCGAAAGCCAGTCTGTAAGAGAGAGCAGCACACTGCCAAGGTGGAATTTTAAGAAGGCAGACTGGAAGTTATATCAGCTTCGCACAAATGTTCTGCTGGAAAATCTGAACACAGATAACGACGTAGACAAAGTAGTCCAAGAGTTGAGCAAACACATACTGCAGGCAGCCCTAGAAGCAGTTCCAAGAGGTGCGCGTAAACAATACAAACCGTACTGGAATTGCGATCTGGAGCAACTGCACAACAATATGGAAACAGAAAGAAAACAAGCTGAGACCAGACCTTGTCAAGAGCAGTTTAACAACTACCAACATTCAAAGGCCAAATTTCAAAGAGCCAAACTGCAGGCTAGACGGAGAAGCTGGCAGGAAAAGACAAAGTCTCTAAACTTTGAAAGAGACACAAGGAAGCTGTGGAGGTTAATTAAGCAAATTAATGATGAGAATACAGGAAGAAATGGTAATATTGCACTATGCAAAGAGGGAGCCATCCTAACAAGAAAACAGGCAGCTGACCACTTTGCAGATTCCTTTGCAGAAGACAGCAACATTAATGTCAGCCCAGAGAAACAGCGAGAGGTTCAAGAAAACAAACAACATACAAGACAAAAAGATATAATTCCTGAGGCACTGGTGGCAGCATTTACATCCAGCGAGTTAGAATTAGCAATATCAAAGCTGAAAATGGGAAAATCACCTGGAACTGATGGAATCACCAACGAAATGATCAAGAACCTTGGAGCAACTGCCAAAAAAAAAGCTGCTACAGATCTTTAATCATTGTTGGACCAGTGGCAAAGTTCCTCAAATATGGAGAGAAGCAATCACAATACCTCTGCTTAAACCAGGAAAGGACAGTTCTGATGCCTCCAGCTATAGACCGATCAGTCTTACCAGCTGCCTCTGTAAAACAATGGAACGTATTGTCAACCTTAGACTCCAATGGTACTTGGAAAGTGAAAACATTTTCACGCCGCAGCAGGCAGGATTTAGACAGTGCTACTCCACAGAAGACCAGACAACTTACCTTTCACAAGAAATTGAGGATGCCTTCCAGGAAAAGAAGCTAGTGCTAACGGCATGGATAGATCTGAAGAAAGCCTTTGACAAGGTCTGGAAAGAAGGTCTACTGAAGAAACTGAGAGACTGCAGGGTGAATGGGAGTATGTACAAATGGGTGAAAGCATACTTGTATAACAGAAGATCCCGAGTACAGATAGATGGACTTAAGAGTAAGAAAGTTTTGCTGCGCCATGGCGTCCCACAAGGAGGTGTCCTGTCCCCCACACTCTTCCTAGTCTATATCAACGACCTGCTTTCTGAACTACCCCATGGAATTAAAGCTGCAATGTATGCTGATGACTTGGTACTCTGGTGTACAAATGAAAATGCGACAGTGGCCACCAGACTGCTACAAAGAGCCATAGATGCAATGGCTGATTGGGCCGACAAATGGTGTGTCAGCATCAGTATAGGCAAATGCAGCACCACCCTCTTTACCCTTTCTCCTAAACAAAAATCAGGTGTCATGCACATAAATGGAGTACCCCTGAGAGAGGATAAGGAGCCCACATACCTCGGCGTAACGTTTGATGATAGATTAACATGGAGAAAACACATCAACAAGGCAGCAACCAAAGCCAGAAGGAGGGTAGCCATTCTGAGAAAACTAAGTGGAACCACATGGGGTGCTAGCGGGAAAATACTTAGGAAAGTTTACCAACAAAGTGTTCGACCACATCTTGAATACGGATCAACAGCATGGAGTTCGGCATCAAAAACCACATTGCAAGAATTAGATAAAGTGCAAAATCAAGCACTCAGAGTTACCACAGGCAGTATGAAATCAACACCTATAGCTGTGATGGAGAAAATGGGGATGACCCAAGCACTGAGTGAACGCAGAGACACCAAGATGCTTTTACAAGCAGAAAAGTTTCTTAGTATGCCCAGTCACCCTATGAATGAAAGATTCAAAAATTTAGCTTTGGACGACTAAAGAGAAGTAGTTTTATCCACCAGGCCAAACGGCTCGGCAGACAAACCACTGATTTTACCTGCAACTGATAGATCCTTAAATGCTGTCCCAGAACGGACCCCCTGGAGAGAGGAGTATAAGTTTCCAATACACATCAAGACTGAAGTGAAAGGGGTATTTGACAAGGAAGAACAAAACAGTGTGCAGCGCAAAACAGCCACCCTCAGTCTACTTGATGATGAATACCCGAAGAACCTTTGGGTCCGTGTTTACACAGATGGGTCAGCAGAAAGCGCAGTCAGAAACGGAGGTGCAGGAGTGTACATTGAGTATCCTAATAATACCAGGGATACAGCCAAATTACCAACGGGAAAGCACTGTCACAACTATGATGCAGAAGTTCAAGCCATCAAGATAGCGGTAGAGAAACTACTAAATATAGGGTATTTTTCACAACCAGTGGTATTCCTGACAGATGCAAAAGCAGTACTTCAATCAC